TTACTAAAACAATATAACATGAGAAAATTATGTGGCATTTATTTTGTGAGAACTAACACAATTATGTTTGCATTTTATTACAATTTGTTAATTTCACGTTAAATTATTTAAATATTAAAAATATTTTAAAATTATTTATTATATAATGCATAAAATTATCAATAAAATCATTTCAAAGATATTGGATATGATGTCAAAACAAATGGAAACTATTTTTTTATATAAATAAAGTTTAATTAAAATTATATAAAAATTAATAATCAAATATTTCGTAGAAAACATTATCTATAACTTAGATATGACTTAAAACATGAAAAATATTTTAACTTAAATTCAACATATCATTGGGGTTTATATGACCAAGTCTACATTTCATTACTAGATTTAAACACTAGTAGTGTTTCCTAAATATTAGTAATTAAATATTTAATTGCAAATAAAAAAATATTATTTTTAGATGTTAAAAAGATATAGATTTTAAAATAAATATTTTTGTTATGTTTTACTGCTAAACAAATATCCAATGAAACAATTAATAATACTATTTATTATTTTAATGAATGTAAATACAATGCTGAATATTTTCCCACAAAATGTATGCTTTCAACAATTTTAAAACTATTTTTATACACCTATAAAAAGAACTGCGGATTTAAACGAGTTATTAGTTTGATAGTAAATTTTATAAAAATAAAATTATATTTTGTCAATTATAATTAATTAATATATAATTGTTTAACTATATAATCAATTTAGCAAAAAATGGATTATAAATTTATAATCTTGATAATTAACATGATGGTTAATATTATACCAGTATTAACTATGGCAAAAATCTCTGAATATGAGCTCAGATACCAAAATGGCACTCGAAATGGACTCTTTGAACATCTCTTATATAATATTAAATATATGAACAAAAGTAAATAATTTAATAATACTTTTTAAAATAATACGTTATATAATATTTAATAATCAAATTTAATTTCCCAGCCAAATGTGAATCTGAATCAGACGATTTGAGCATGGCCAGTTTCGTGAGAAATGACAACGATCATCACTCGGCTTTTGTTATGGAAAGGATTGGATCAAAAAGTATTATTTGGTTTACAAATGGAAATAAACTGAATCAAAATAACGACTTAAACGACGTCTTTATAATGGAAGCCATAGTAATTGGATTTAAAAGTAAGTTAGCATGATGATTTTGATTTGTAACCTATGTTACTCTTTATATTAATATTACTTGCTTATTACATTTAAAAAGAATACAATGTGCTATTAAAAATAAGCTTAATCCCCATCGAGGAGTATTCGATTGTGAGCACTTTGGAGCAAGTAACTTTACTTACATCAGTCACAGTATGTTTATACAATTTAAAATATTTGATTAAATGTATCGTAGTAATTTATCTAATATTACATGTGACACAATATAAGTAATATGGCTAACTCAGTCATTTAATGTAGCATGATGCGTTGGAAAAGGCATTAAAAACGGATATGGTTTTAACAAAAATTGTCCACAACAGAGGAAACACTGTTTTGACGGAAACCATATCAAAGACCGAAGAAATTACAGATAAAACCGAGATTTTCATTGAAAACAGTTTCGAAAGTTTCAATACATCTAAAGTGAAAACAAGGGTTTCAGCGAAGGCTGGGTTTTCCTGGTTTGGCATTTTTGGTGCGAACGCTGGCGTCGATCGGGAGTCAGAAGTGTTGACCGGTTTTCGATCGCTTTCCAAAGGCGGCGGTTCTTACAGTCATTCCAGCAAAAAGTCGGTCACTTTGAGATCAACCGTAGAACTCAAACCGTTTAGTAATGTTTGGGTCAAGGGTTGGATAAAAACAGTGAAAGACCTGGAATTACCGTTTCGGGCCATTCGCTCCTTTACCGGAACGGATCCGAGAATTGACCCAACGGTTCCATTAGATGGACAGATATTATTCGTGTTAATTAACAAATATTTTAATAATAAACACGAAATGAAAATTAATAATTGCTCTGTTACTGTAAACCAAACTGGTTTCTACCGTGGTACTTTTGGCACAGATACGCACACCGAGGTTCAAGAACTTCGATATCGTACGCTTGAGTACATTTTTACTACTATCGCCGTCACTTCTACAACAACAACACCAGTCATTAGAACAACACCCGTCACGACACCAATCATAACAACACTCGCCGACCAATCGATTCACTCGTCGACCCCTTCCGACAATTTCCCACCGAATGACACGAAAATAATATTTACTTTAATGGAAATGATATGCATTTCTCTAATCAGTATTTTAATAGTTGTGTTAATTATAATGTTTTGGAGGAAAAGAAAAAATTATTTGAAATATTTTTATGGTAATAAGTAATAATATGTCATAATCACAACTCACAACTAACTAGAGTTAAAGAATTATTAGAGTTAAGTATTTATTTTTCAAAAGACTTAAAAATACAATTGAAATCTATAAAACAACGTTTTAGTTAACAATATAATTTATAAATAATTAAATGAATAAATGTAAACCCCAACACAATAAATAATATTTTATATACTGTATATAGGATTTGAATCGTTATTATGCTATATCTGCTCTACTTATGATTTAATCTAATGTTAATCATAACTTTATTTTGAAAAATCAAAAATAATTTATAGTGTTAGTTATCCATTGAATATGATGTGAGACCCGAACACCTATAATATCGTTGTCCTCAACCAAATCCACACAAAACTTTCCCGGATTTTCATCAGTGCCTGATATGATGCCGATTACAACAGCCACGCCATTAACGTACTGAACAATGGGACCGCCAGAATCACCCTGGTGCAATGATCAGTTTAAAATTTATATTATTTTATTAGCTTTAACAAGGCAGTGAATTGGTGCAGTGGATTTCCCAATTTTAACCAAATCAGATTTTTATATACATACTATCTATAATATATGTACTATAGAATAAGAATGTGCTCAAAACTATGAGTCTATGTAAACTTGTGTCAGTTTACATAGTAAAACCTCTCCTGGAGCTCTCCCAGCACATACTAACTTTAGAATAACAATAATAATCAAGAGTAACCAACCCGTTCACCTGAGTGAACACAGAATAGAAATTATACATTATAAATAGGAGTCGTATATTAATTTTGGCTTCTTTTGATAGTAATAAAATAATATGGGGGTTATTATATGACATACCTTACATGTAGCCGAACCGGTCGGGAATGGTATGCGTCGGGCGTAAAGCGCGGCGTTTAGTTGCAAAGTATGGTTGGGATCATTGAGTGCTCTCTCAATGCGCGCAAAGCCAATGCGTTGTACACCAGAACCGGTGCCGTTATCGTCGGTAACACCGAAACCATTCAATAGGACGTACTCTTTGTCCTCATTTACGACCCACTCTTCGGGCAAACAAATGGCGTTAATTCCCGTCACACCTGACGGCCCGTCCAATGGTATAGCAGTGTTGAGTCGGATTAGCCCCAAGTCATAAGAAAACCATTGATTGCTCTCATACTCGGGTGTAATGAAATACTGACCGCCCGTATAGTATGTATGGTTTGCAACGCTTTGGTTCGTTAGCCCCGGATATACACGAATGTCAGTCACCGTACAGTTTGCTCCACAACTGAGATAAAATTTTATTAATATATGTTGAATAATACGGCAATAACTAGGATATTACTATAATGTATGCGCGCAGGTAAGTATCCATCGCTCATTAAAAATTACACCACTGGAACTGAGAGAGAGAGAGAGAGAGAGAGAGAGAGAGAATTTGTTGAAACAATTTTTAGTTAATATGTAACATAATATTAAATAAGCCAACCTGCCACGATTTGATGTGATATACACAGTCCACGGCGTTTCTCCCGTCTGGACTACCCGTCCGTTTTGAATGCCGGCAAACATTACATCACTATTTGGATGGTATGTGAAGCACGTGTTGTCCCTAAGCCTCCCTTTCCTCCCAACCCCACAGCCGGCAGTCGTTATATTCTCATAGAAATGAATTCTCGCGTGACTTCCGTTATAGCCATCAGTCCATAGACTTAACGCTGGAATTGATGTTCAGTTCAATGCAAACATTTGTTAAATAATTACAAATATTTCTTACTTATAATTAACCCAATAATCATTATAATAGTTAATGAATACATTTGTTTAAAATTAGTATAATTTATTAATTAAAATACTGTAATGTATTAAATATTGAAGTTTATTATTTTGTTTAAAATAAAATTATAGCATAATTGTCAATAAAATTATTTATTATAAAATCACAAGTTTTAAGATTTAACAGAATATTATATTGCAATATATTTAGAGTTTCTTATAAATATTATATTATTTTACAAAAATATTTGTCTCAAATTAACCATAAATTAAATTTAATTAATTAATTAAATATTATATTACTAACAGGAAAATGTCAGACAATATTTATTGACAATTAATAATTAATATAAATCTATTTAACAACAAACCCATTAAACACAAACAGAGGGCGCAATCTGTGGGCCGACCGTCGGCTGAAGTACTAGCCGTCTGACCACTCCATCAGCGTTTATCACGACATTCATTACACCCGATATTATGAGCTCATCGACGGCCCGATACAAGTCGTCCAGCAATCGCACATTTGATCCATTGATGGCAGTAATCACGTCATACATCCGGACACCGGTATTAGCCCTGAAATTAAACATAAAAAACATTGCAAAAACGGTAAACCATTTTATCACACAAACCAATGATCGTTATTATCATCCAAGAAGTTATAGATGAGGACACCGTTAACGTCGGGCACCTGTCGATTCTGTTTCAACCACTGTCTCAGCTCATGAGTTAGTCAATAGATTTCGGCGCCCAGTGTTGGCCCACTTTCAACGCTCGTAAACTTCCTGAAAAAGGCTAATAATAAACTTAATGGGTTAAATACAGGGTGGAGATTAATCAACTCCCTAAAAGTAAACTCGAATATCTCGAAAGGTATGTGGTCTGGAAATTCAAATGATATATCAAAATACTCATTAACTGCCGGAGTTTTTGTTGTGATATGGTCAATATGTTTGACCTTTTATTTTAGAAATTATCTCAAATTAAGCAAAATTTTATCATTTTTTCCATAGACATAATGTTATATTCAAACTTATTTTTGAGCAAATCCTGAAATAGATATCAAGTTATTTTTGCTCCTGTTTAAGAATATGTAATCAAAATTATTGTACTTCATTTAGTTTTTGATTTATTAATGATTTATCAATATTTTGGATTTATATGATTTCAAAATACACAACTTTTCTACAAAATCTTTTATAATACAAAAACTACACACAACACAAGAATTTTGATTACATATTCTTAAACAGGAGCAAAAATTACTTGATAATTATTTCAGAATTGTGCTCAAAAATAAGTTTGAATTTAACATTATGTCTATGGAAAAAATGATAAAATCTTGCTTGATTTGAGATAATTTCTAAAATAAGAGATCAAGCTTATTAACCATATCTCAACAAAAACTCCCGCAGTTGATGAGTATTTTGATATATCATTTGATTTTCCAGACCAAATACCTTTCGAGATATTCGAGTTTACTTTTAGGGAGTTGATTAATCTCCATCCTGTACTTCACTATAATAATTATACTCTTATTACTATTAGTTATATCGAACTAGAAGAACAACCATTTAAATTTTACATAGAATTAGTTTGTCAAACTCCATACCCTTCCTCCAATCATGGTTAAATAAGGCTATTTATTAAGTTTATTTTTATTATGTAAATAAATATGATTTATTTTAAACCTTTCTCTCTTTCTCTCGCTTTCTCTCCTAATTGCTATTTTGTGATCAAAGGCTTTAAATACTACGATTCCGTTGAGTTTCAATGGCTTTGCAGTTGACTATTAATGAGAAGTATTGAAGCAATAGTTCCGAAGCATTCATTTTGTGACACTTTGTATTTACTAAAACAATATAACACGAGACAAGTAATTATGTTGCATTTAGTTTGTGAAAACTATTCCAATTATTTTTGCATTTTATTATCATTTGTTAATTTCACGTTAAATATAGTTTTAAATTATTCATTATATTATGCATTAAATTATCAATAAAATCATTTCAAAGATATTAAATATGATGTGAAAACAAATGGAAACTATTTTTTGTATAAATAAAGTTTAATTATAATTATATAGAAATTAATATTCAAATATTTTGTAAAGACATTATCTATAGACTATAGATATGACAAAGACTTCCAATTTTCGGGAATTCCCGAATAAAATAGTTAACAAAATCATCG